CAATTTGCTTAAAAAAATTTGTAAACTGCTTAGAGAGGGCTGAAAGCCCTATGAAGCGGTATATAAGTCTAATTAATAAATAAATAATAAAATAAATAAATAGCACATTTTTAACTCTTACATTTTTATACCAACAGGAGAAAGGTGTTTTGACTGTGTTTCCCACAATGCCTTAGTTTCTTACTAAGTATACTTTTTTTTCCACAGTCTGCTACAGGGGTTTATCTGGCTGCTTTACCTACACCTGGTGGAATTCAGATTGGGGGGAAAACTCCCAGTGATGCCACTTACGAACAGCATATCTCTCATGTGCAGAAGAAAATCAATGACACAATCGCCAGAAACAAAGAGCTGTATGAGATTAACCCTCCGGTAAGCAATGCTATAGAAGTACTGACCCAATTTAAGTCAAATGTTTCTCATAAGGCAGGGACGTTTATCCCTTTAATTACAGGTAGTCCTTGACTTACAACCACCGCTGAGCCCAGAATTTATGTTGTTAAGTGAGAAATTTGTCAAGTGTGTTTTGCCCCATTTTACGACCTTTCTTGCCACATTTAAGTGAGTCACAGCAGTTGTTAAATTAGTGACATAGTTGTAAAGTGAATCTGGCTTCCCCTATTGACTTTGCTTGTCAGAAGGTCGCAAAAGGGGATCACACAACCTGGGGACACTGCAAAGGTCATAAAGATGAACTAATTGTCAAGCGCATCTGAATGTAAATCATGTGACCATGGAAATGCTGCCAGGGTCGTAAGTGTGAAAAATGGTCATAAGTCACTTTTTTTCAGTGCCATTGTAACTTCGAACGGTCACTGAATGAACAATTGTAAGTTGAGGACTACCTGTATTATGAATGAAAGCTTAGGTGTAGTTGATTTCTGAAAATATAAAGACAATCAATGTTTAGGAGACAGAACCCTATAAAAATAAGGAGAAAGAAAGTGGTTGCAAAACTAAACACGTTCAGGAATAAAAGGTGCGGGGGGAAGTTACTCATTTTGGTCAGGACAGAAATAGCTAAGAGATCTCATCCCCCTTTTTTCCTTTATGTTGGAGAAAAGTTGTGGTGGTAGCAATGATATATTTAAAGTTCTTTTGTGAGATTTAATAAATGTGAGATGCCTACATGACGCCATATTGTTCTGCGTAGGAGACATCTGAAGAAATTATAGGTTCTCCCATTCCAGAACCGAGACACCGGACCAGGTTGCTAAGATCTCAGTCTGAAAGCTCCGATGAAATTGCAGAATTGGATCTCTCTCATGGCAAGAAAGACGCCTTTGTGTTGGAGGTATGTTCTCCTTCTACCTCTTTTCTACCTGATCTTATAAAGAATAAACAAAATTCTATCATTTATTGTTTACAGGACCATTTCATTCATAGTTAAGAAAATATTACGGCATTCTACAGACAGCATATCTGAATTTGTGAGTGAAAGGAGAGGAGAGAGGGAGGGAGGGGAGAGAGAAAGAGAAAGAAATAAAAGGTACAGGAATCCAAAATTCTATACCCAGCGTGCTGAATTCTAAGCAATCTAACTATTAACTAATCTGTAACAGATTTATTCAACCAAAATGTTAAATGCACCAGTCTGCTGCTTTAGGAGTTCATCAGGTAGATGGTTATATCTACTGGCATTTCCTAAAAACAGCTATTGTAATCTACTCTGCGCTTTTGAAAATATGCAGCATGTGTAGTGAAATCTGCAACTAGAGTAGGGAATCCCTGTGGGGAATAAATAAGCATTCCACCCTTGGGGTACTATATCCAGTTCTGGTCATCATAATACAGAAAAGATGCTGAGACCTAGAAAGAGGGCAGAGAAGAGCGTCAACGATGATGAAGGGTCTGGAGGCGAAATCATATGACAGTCAAGGGAGCTAGGAATGCGTAACCTATCAAGCAGAAGGATTACTGGGGACATGATAGAGGACTTATTCACCAGAGGGCAAGACAAGAAATAAAGCTTGTTAAAGAGATACACAACCTAGAAGGAAGGAGAAATTTTTCTGACAGTGAGACCAATTAATCAATGGAATAGTTTGGCTGCCGGAGTTGTGGGCGTGCCATCACTGGAAGTTGCCACAAATAGACTGAACAACCATTTGGCTGAGGTAGGATAAGACTCCCGCCTTGCGCAGGGGGTTGAACTGGAAGACCTCCAAGGTACTTCCAACTCTATGATTCTGTGGGAAGGAAGCAACTGGGATCTGATTTTTTCTGAAATTTTTGGAGCCCCTAATCTGGTTGTTTGGAAGACGGTGCAGTTAGTGTGGTGAGATTTTTTTTAAAGGAGGTAAATCACAATAAACATGTCTCATAGGCTGATGGTGTTCCTTGCGCCTGCCGAAAGGTTTAAAAAAGAAATGAAAAACAACTCACCAATACTGAGATTTTAATTTTAATATACTAAAACGTTTAAATCTGTTAACGAGTCCCCAAATATTTAATTTTAAAACTCGGATATATGAGTTAGACTTCTCATATTGGCTGATAATGCCTTTATACAATATGTATATTAAATATGCTTTCCACACAGAATATCTCTTGATAAAGAACATTACAAAGACCAAATTATTATGTGTAGCTATTTTTCCCCCTCAGATTGATGATACAGATGCAATGGAAGATGTTCACTCTTTGTTGACAGATATCCCTCCACCCTCAGGTACAATTGTTTTTTTTAAAAATTCTGATAATATTATAAAATACTCCCAAAGGTTTGAAAATTGCCAATACTCTTTTCACAGTATGTAGAATAATCCCATGTACATTTTATGTTAGAAGAGGCCATACTTTTAGGTGTCTTGGATGTGATCTTATAAATTGTAAGTCCATTAATTGTTAGATAGCTAGAAAACCTACATAATTTGCAAGCTCAATAGATATTTGCTTGTCTGTATATATAAAAGCCGAAATACCACTTGCACATCATCACGAAATATCCAAACTTGAAATTTGGCACATACATTCCGCTTGGCTTCTAGGTGTTCACTAAGAAAGATTTATCGAAATGACCATCAGATCATTAGTATTTCTTATACAGTAATTAACACACTCTGTTGCTAAGGAGTTCTACTCCCCCTCCCCACCTGAAAAGAACTCTGTTTCATCTGCCAGTTGCTTTATATTAACACACTCTGATGCTAAGGAGTTCTATTCTCCCTCCTCACCTGAAAAACAACTCATGCTAAGGGATTACACATTTTACTCCCCCTCCCCACCTGAAAAGAACTCTGTTCCAACTTCCAGTTGCAACTGAGTGCTGGTGAGGTTAAAAGGCTCAAGCCTATCTATTTTATTGTTGTTAGATTTACAGTCATGTCTTAATCTGTAACAGAAATTTAGCTTACCGTCTCTAATGAAATAATACAGTGCCTTTTTTAACTACTCATTAATTTTCAAGCTTTAAGTGTCAATTTATCAAGCCCGATCATAAATTTATCAAGTCCGATCACATAGTTTCGAGGTAAAGCACAGGTATCCAGCTAGTACGTAATGAATGTGACACACTTTACTGTAGATTTGTGCATTTAATAAATACTTCCAGTGTCTCAGTGTACTAGAACGTAAATTATATTTAACTGAATTGAACTGATTCATTCATTCCTAAGTATATACAGTATACATATTTCTTTAAAATATTACTAAATTGACTTTCTCAAAAAATACCATGCAAATAGAAAATACAGTGACTTCGTAAATCAGCTATGCTGAAAACCTGAGTAAATGAAAGAACATCATTGTATCTGCTTTTTTTTAATACTAAAAAATTGAATTTGTTCTTTGTCAGGCTTTTATAGTTGCAATACGGAAATTATGCCTGGAATAAACAACTGGACTTCTGACATACAGGTAAAATAGTATTAATATTCTCGGATCAATTTTCAAAGGAATAAAATAAAGTATACAAAACTGCTTTTCTTTCACTTCATATTTGTTTAGGTTTTTAGCATTATCAAAAATGTAGGTTTTTTTTCACATAAATTATGTAGTGTAGGTTCATAAGATATTCTCAAATGAGGCCCCCCACAATTAAAGATGTTTTCTCTCTGTGTACCAGTTCCATAACCATAGCTAGTAAAGAAACTTGGAAGAGAGTACAGGTAGTCCTTAACTTGACAACAATTCATTTAGTGACCATTCGAAGTTACGATGGCACTGAAAAAAGTGACTTGTGACCAGTGGTGGGTTTCAAATTTTTTAGAACCTCTTCTGTAGGTGTGGCCTGCTTTGTGGGAGTGGCTTGCCGGTCATGTGACTGGGTGGCAGTGGCTTGCCAGCCATATGACTAGGTGGGCGTGGCCAACTTGTAAAATGTGGTAAAACTCACTTAACAACGCTCTTGCTTAGCAACCAAAAGGTTGGCTCAGAAACTCTGGCATTTGAAGCACGCAAGTCTTAAAGCTGTCAAGTTACAAGACTCTTGCACCCTTAACCCTTTAGGAAAAAACAACAACCCAGGAGTGTTCAAACTTGACAGCTTTAAGACTTGTGGACTTCAACTCCCAGAATTCCTCCTCTCGCTCTTCATCTTGATGATGTGTGGACGGGTGGACGGGAGGGAACTGGAACCGGTTCTAAACGGCACTGTAGAATTGTGGAATCTCTTCTATAGAAGAGATTGGAACTGGCAGGAACCCACCCCTGCTTGTGACCATTCTGCATGGTCACGTGTTTTACAAATGGATGCTTGACAAGCAATTCATATTTATGATGATTGTAATGTAGCAGGATCATGTGATCAACTTTTGTGACCTGACAAAGCAAAGTGAAAGGGGGAAGCCAAGTTCACTTTACAACCGTGTTGCTAATTTAACAACTGCAGTGTTTCACTTAACAACTGCAACAAGAAAGGTGGTACAATGAGACAAAACCCACTTAACAAATGTCTCACTTAAGCAACAGAAATTTTGGCCTTGATTGTGGTTGCACTTGTATAGATTATTATCCCACGCATAAACTTTCTTGCCATAAACTTTCTTGTAAGAAATGTCCAATCTTAACATTTGATCCAGAGATTATGCGCCCAGTCCTCTATCTCTTCTCTTATATGAATGTTAAACGTACAACACTCCATTTATTTTCAATTTATGCTGGCGAAATGTATTCCTTCCAATCTACATAGGATTGTCATCATTAGCATGAAATGCATCACACCTGATCTAGTTGGCATGAAATTATCCTAGAATAAATTTCATTTTTCTTTTGTCTCGTACCTCTTACCATCTCAGTTGTAATTCAGCCAGTAATAAGGCTCTTATTTATATTTAATGATGGCAATTCATTACCTTGTTTTCCTGCTTCAGATGTTTACGTCTGTAAGAGTCTCCAGACTTAGCAATATTACCCTCACAAACCAAACTCTCAACAAGACCTTTAACGATCTCTGTGAGAATCTACTAAAGGTAAGAGAATGATTGCTGGAATTAATCTAGCTGTTTGAATTATTTTGTTTATTCAGTCCTTTGCTCTAGGTGTGTTCGCTTGCTTTCCTGGTGTAAATGATAGATGACTGTTAAATAAATGGCTGTTATATAGAAGACATCAAGTACCAAGTACCCTGTGTAAAATAATAACCAAATGATTTTGCTTATTATTACTACACTGTCTTCCCATCTTGAGCTAACCTTTGCAGTCTATTTGCATGGTCTATTTGGTTGACTGTTTTTGGCAAGCCTTTACATGCTGCAAAAATTGTGGCGATTCACAGTAGTTTTTAAAAAAAAAACCAAAAAACTTTTTTAATTTACAATTTTACTCAGACTATTATATGATTTTATAGTTGGTTTTATTCTAATCAATCGTGACTCTTTTAGCAATAGCAATAGCAGTTAGACTTATATACCGCTTCATAGGGCTTTCAGCCCTCTCTAAGCGGTTTACAGAGTCGGCATATCGCCCCCACA